CCCTACAGTAACACACACTTTAAAAGAAGATGCAAAATAAAACAGTTTCTTGGTTGCCTTCTCTCCACTGAAGACTATGAAAGCAATAATTATCTTAAGCTGACTTCCGTTGGCATATAAGTGGTGTTCAGAAGAGATTTGAGTCAGACTGATTGAGGAGCTGTGCTACTCTCAGCCAGGGTCTATTTGTGTGATCTCTGAGGGGCTGTTTTAAAGTCCCTTTGCTCCACATCCAGTCTTGTGCCCTGTGTATTGAATTAACTGAAGGTAGATTTCTGCCTATCGGAGCTCTCCATTGTTTGTTTACTACCGGAGTTCGTATCTCTTCCTGTGGTTACACAGACAGATATTCCTAAATTATGGTCTGGGGCCTCGGCTAAGCTGTTTATTTTTCTGTTGCTCGGCTTGTGCTTCTTTTATGCATTTAATGTGTTTAGACTGTCGTTTACAGTGTAAATGCAGACTAGATTTCTTATAGGCTTTTGTTAAATTACAAATGTTGATAAAAGCCAACACTGTGTGGTTTATTGTCTAGTTCCATGAAGAGGAAGGAATGTAATTAGTTAACATGTGTGGAAGGATATCAGTTGAATAGCCAACGGTAAACTGCATAAAGTCACAGTTGTGCCAGGGCTCTAGACTAACTTTTTGCCATGGTTGCACTGGTGCACCTAACGTTTTTTTTCTTAGGCACACCAGCACAAAAGTTAGGTGCACCCAAATTTTTCAACCGCATCGCTTAACACCACAGTTTTACATGTTCACTTTTTTTGTTGTTTTTTGGGGAGTAATTGCTGACCATACAGACAATATTGATTTGTAAATGATTAACAACACTAAGTTCTTTATTTGGAACACAGTTCTACAAGAAAGATAAGATCGGGCCTTAACATAAAAGTTATCAATCGTTCTTTTCATCTTTTCTCATTACACACAGCTACATCCACTTCTGCACAGTTTTGCACAGTTAAATTTTTATATAGCTTTAATGCACATAAGTATTTTGTCTCGCGTCAATTATATCGTCAGTTATATTGTTATCGCACATTTTCAAATATATGTCATGATAAATATTTTTGGCCATATTGCCCTGCCCTAGTTACCATTAACCTAGCTTGCAACACACTGACAGAAACTCTATTCAGTGTAACTGCAATTACACTGAGTCATTATTGTATTTACAAGTAAACAGATTATTCAGTAAAGGTGGTATTTATTTTTAGCTCTAGTGAGATGGATGAATATTTTCAAAAAGAATGATCGGTGCCATATTGTTGCTTTTACAGGCAATCTAAGGCTTTAGATTGTATTTTCTTTGATAGCAGGATATGAAGCAGTAATTCTTCTGGTGTAGATTCTGGTTAGAGTAAACCAGTGCAGGCAGAGACAGTGGAGCTGGAGTATGGCAACCACAGTGAGAGATCCTATGTGTAACAGCTGAGTGACTCGAAAGCAATTTGGCCAATGAGCTGGCTAGAGGAAAGAACCCACAGAGGGGTGGAACATCTGAAATATCAAATTAAAAGGACAGGGATGGTCCCCTAGTAAGTCGTGGATGACGTTGTCGTCCTGAGTAGATTAAAAGATGCTAAAGTTAAAGATGCACATCAGTGTTTCCTGCTCAAGTAAGTTCTATGTGTGGAAAATGCTGATGTGACTCTGGTGTCAGGGTTGATGTTAATCACTGTGACATTTCGGGATGTAGCTCAAAAACTGTGCTGCCATGTAATACAGTGAGAGGTCAGCAGGCAATTGGGGCACTCTAAATGTACAGTAGAAGAATTGTAATGTCAGAAACTTATGATAACAATCACACATGGTTAATGCTGGTAGACACACTTTTGTTAGCCAGCCAATAGGAATGCAGCATGAAGTGATGTGGAAAAAGCAAAACACACCCACATGGGATGCATGGTAGTAAACTATTTGGCTTTTAACAAAGCAGAAAATGTGAGGTAACTGCAGCAGAAATTAGTTTGGGTGGTGTGGCCTACAGCTGTTCTGGTGACTAAATAAGATGTAGCATGGAGAGATACTGCAGTCTCATGAAACAAGTCTCGTCAGCCTTTCTAGTGTCATTCTAGCAGTGTCAGCAGAGCAGGCCTAACAGGAAATAAACTTCTTCTAACTGGGGATAGTGAACATAAATCTATCAGCATGGTCCCTGCTGTTTTTAGTCAAATCAGTAGGAGGCTGATGTCAATCTGGCATTTGTCTGACCATTTTCCATGACAGTAAATGGACAACCGAATCATATCTGTTGGTGATCAGCCTTAAAAATTCCTGGTTAGGTTTCTGCTTGGTGTTTGATGCTGAGTGGAAAAGCTGTTGGGAGGTCATTGGTCAGGAAACTCTACTTATTCTGCATGTTTTTGTTTCTGCTTGGTGCGAACCCAGCCGTGTCAGCGGAGCCTTTCCGCTATGAGTCATGAGTTAAAAGGCCACCCTGTGTGGCTGGAATACCTCACAACCTGTCACTCCTCCTAAGACTGTTTATTGTCGGAAGCAGTTCAACCTGCTGTGCTGGATTCAGTCAGGCAGCCTCTCAGTATCTGTTTTTCTGACCTCCTTTTACTTATTGTGCATTTTCGTGTCAGTTTGTTGCTAAATACTGCAATTGGAGGGACTAGTCAAAGCATGTACTTATAAGATAAAAAAAATGTCTGTAACCACTGTGATATCCATCATTGGTTTCTGCAATGAAACTTGGTATGTTAGTATTAGTGTTTTGGTTGCTGCCATATTGGTATTTTGGGGCCAGAGGTGACTGTATCTTGACTAAAGTTAAATTAGTGACAAGCTATGTCCAAAACTAATACAAAAATATTGCATACAAACTGTAGAAGTGCTATACACAGACCCACATATCTGCTATTAAGGGCAGTGTAACCTCTTGTACAGTCTGTGCTGCACAGCAAGCCATAGTGTCTGCCATTAAGAGGTCTACTTCAGAGGCTGAAACTAACATCAGCGTCAGAGTGGCCTCACGTCTACCTTTAAACCTTACTGTACACTCATATTTTAATAGAACTTCATTAAAATTCAGTTGCTATCCCTGGACCTGTTTTTGCCCCCTGGTTGGGTCACTGGCTGTGGTTTTTGTGGACCTGCGTCACTGACGATGTCCTCCTGTGTTCTGATGGACTTGGAGTGGCCCTTCAGCTTGTAGCAGATATCCAGAGGACTAATGTCTCCATCTAACTACTTTCATCATCATCTTTAGCAGATGATTGTGAAGTTGGAGTTAATCAAAGAAACTGAGCCAATTATTTTTACTCAGATATTAAATGTTATATAGCCAATAAAATATTTGCAGAGGAGAAACATTAACTCTAACGGTTATGTATGACGTTTTGAACTGACTAGACTGTATATAAAAGATGGGCAAATCTGCATTCTTTCTGTGTGGCAAGAAAAGAGGAGATCCCCCTGGTTATATAAAGAAGCCTAGTTACATATGAGTGATAGCCTTTGGCTGACTTATAAATGGCAGGGATAGCTCAGTAGGTAGAGTGGTGGCCCCATGATCGGAAGGTCGGGGGTTCGGTTCCCCTGAACAGCTACCCTGAGGTACCCCTGAGCAAGGTACTGTCCCTGCACACTGCTCCCCGGGCGCCCAATGGCTGCCCACTGCTTCACTGAGTGAATGGGTTAAAAACAGAGAGGAATTTCCCCACGGGGATTCTTTCTTCTTCTTTCAATCCGGGGTAAATGTTTCTGATGAGTTCATGGGCTCAGTTGCTAGTTTCTGTTCTTAGTGGAAACATTGTGGTGTTTATTTAGTAAAACACAATCCTGTGATAGTCAATAAGGGGGATGAAGCATTGTATGCTATAGTGGACATACAAGTTACTAAACTATGAGTGTAAAGTATCTCAGATCCACCCCTTGAGTGTTGCATCTGCTCTGCTCAAGGCTTCACAACAAGACCTCACTAACCAAAGTTTGACAATGATTGTCTATTTAATCATCTGCCACAACTAGAATATACATCTGTGAAAAACTCTGTTAGCTTAGCTGTGCGCAGATGTTGGAAGCTCAGTTGTCAGCACCATATTTTCCATATTTTTATTCCATATTATACAAAGTAATTGCTTTGTAAGGCAAGTTGTTAAAGGTCTTGGTTTTGACTATGAAAAAGCACTCTTTTCACTCAGTCAGTATAGTCAAACATGTATTCATGTATCAGCATGAGTGCACTATACGGTAGAAGTCTGTACAGTCTGTGGCTATCGTTTTTTTTCTTCGTCTTTTTTGTGGTGTGTGGAGCATATTTCATATATTTCAGTTTGGTCTCAGACTAAACTTTTTAGTGTGTTGTATTTTTCTTGCTTATCCTGCAATTACAGATGTAGATAGAAACATTGAAGTTGCATAAATCATTTAGTTTGCCAATTAAACGGATTGTTGGTAGGACCAGACATTCATAGAATCACATTCTCTCTGAATTATTATGGAAGCCCTTTTGTGCCAGTGTGGGTGTTTATTTTGTTTTTTCTTTTTTTGTTTGTTTGTTTGCCCCCCCCCCCCCAAAAAACACCTGCACTAGCCCCAAAAAAAAAAAAAGATGTAAAATCATGAACTTTGGACTCTTTTTTTTCCCCTTTTCAAATGAGAACATTTAGCTAATAATTGTGACTTTTACCATTTTATTTAAACATTTAAAAAACAACGACACTCGACTGTTAGCCATTGTTATTTTCGCTACATTTCTCAAAATAAGAATTTTAACTTTTGAGATTAAACGTTTTAGTGTGTGTGTGTGTGTGTGTGTGTGTGTGTTATGGGGTAGTAGTGATATTTTCCTTTAAAATTCTTTAAATGTATCAGTTAAATATTTCACTCAAGGGTGTTTAAGAGATTTACGTGTAATAAGCAATTTTACAAAAGTATCGAATTTTCAATTTTTCATTAAATTTGGACTTCATCTTGGCTCATCCATTCTCCCCCCCCCCGCCTTTCCCCCCTCTTTATCATTTCATCATCCTTGTCTGGAGTAGAGGTTGTGGTGGAGTATGATTATGACGCACTCCATGATGACGAGCTGACCCTTCGACCTGGCGACATCATCAAAAACGTGCGCTACATAGAGGAGGATGGTTGGATGGAGGGGGACCTCAATGGGAAAAGGGGCCTCTTTCCCGACAACTTTGTCAAGGTGAGAGATAGATTAGTGTTCATCTGTCAACTGGCTTATATCAAATTGCAGCTTGTTTGTTGGAGTAGAGCTAACCGTGTTGTCTATCATACTGTTAGTGATAATCCTATTGAAACTGGGAGCATTATCAGAGTATAGCAGTCTGCTACACAGAAGAATTTCTGTGCTTTATATTTAATATTACTTTGATGAATGATGTAAACATTTTAGAATAGAAAGGATAGAACTAAAGATCAGAAAGTGTTTACAGAATTCCTTTTGCGAAGTTAGATTTGTGTTTTGGAAAAGCAGAACCTTTTTATTGGAATAAAGGTTTAAAGGGGTAACTTGACCTGGTATCATTTCGATGGATTATTTTAGAGACATGAGCAATGTTCCCTTTAATTTTTCATGTGTCTGAGCGAACAGACAAACTCCCTGAGCGGTCCCTTGGACCACTGTGAGCAGCAGCAGACGTGTGCACTGTGGTCACGCCAGCATCGAATCCATCCAAGTTGCGTGGTTTATTAAAATAATCAAATTACAGCATTTATGATAGACTACTTTTAATTAACTGCTTTAGCCCACTTACAATGAAAATTTAAAAAAAATCTTGTTCATGACCTGTGTAGTATGTTAACTAGTGGTGCAATGTAGGGCTGCTCAATTAATCGAATTTTAATCACGATTACGATCTGGGCTTTCAACGATCATTAAAAATGACTGAGCCGATTATTAGCCCGTCCCTCGTGCTTTACTCTCGCGCTGCTCCGTGTGGCAAATCGAGCGCACCTCTCTGCATTTCGAACACGTGTCACAACAATTAAGACTCTAATTAATTTAAGAGGACCCGAGGGAAGCTCGGAAAGCTAAGCAGAAGTTATTTGGAGAGGAGAGTGACTGCCGTTGGTTGAAAAGAGAGGTAAAAAAAAACTTAAGTGGTGTGGAAACATTATTGGTTCGCGGAGTCAGACGTGGATCAAGTAGACCTAGTGTGTAAACTTTGCTACAGTGTCGTAGCTGCACCACAGAGCAACACTGCAAAGTTCACTAAACATAGATGTTTACATTTTTCATTTATTTTTTATATTGCAAACATTTGCACTGTTATCAGTATTTGCACACTATTTTATATTATTTTTTGACAATCTTTAAAGTTATTATTCAATACATTGTTATTGTTAAATAAATATCGTCAAATAATCGAGATCTCAATTTCACTGAAAATAATCGTGATTATCATTTTTGCCATAATCGAGCAGCCCTAGTGCAACGGATCAAAAATCTCACGGTTCAGATCGGATCACGGTTTTAAGTCACGGATTGGATCAATTTTTGGATCAGCAAAAAAAGAAAAAGGACAAAAATTTAACATTTACTTATTTACTTATTGAAGTATTTTTTGCCTGTTAAAAACATTCAACTCAAGACTCATTCCACGCAATTATAAAAAAAATTAAAGCTGCAAGCACCATTATGAGGGCCCTCGCACCCCGGCACGTCGAGCCACGCCCAACACCTACAACCAGCACGTCCGATCTGATGTCACATTGATGGAATTCATGCATTTAACCACCAGCTAACAATTCATCTCATTCAATCATGATTATAGTCGTTCCACTAGGTGGCGCTCTAACCATTACTGACAAATGGCATAACAAACATTTCCAGCTCGAGTCTCATCATGCGCGCGACCTTTGGGAGAGATTGTGTTTTCGAGTGACAGCAGATTACTGCTTTTTGGCGAGTGATTGAAACCACGTGCCGCCATGACCACCCCGTTTCCCTGAACGTAAAAAGCTTCGCAATTTAACATCACAAAGGTCTTTAGATTCCACGCACTGCAGATCAGTCCAATCTGATGAAATCCCTTGGAGGAGTTCGTCAAAGTACAGTGCCTGAAAAGAGGGGAAAATGTCGGCAAAATTACACATTAATTTTAAAATGGCTGACTTCCTGTTGGATTTGGGATATTGCTCCAAGAGACGTTTTTGTACATCTTAATATCTTCCATAAGCTTAACAGGTTTCAGACTCATAGATAAAACACAGAGCAAGGGCTTATGTTTTGAAATTTTGTAGGGGGCGCTGTGGAGCCATTTCGCTCTATTCAATGATGATCACATATCAATGATCAAAATGATCAGTGATCAGTTTCCTTGAATAGCGCAAAATGGCTCCACAGCGCCCCCTAATTTCAAAACATTAGCCCCTGCTCTGTGTTTTATCTATTAGTCTGAAACTTGTTAAGCTTATGGAAGATATCAAGATGTACAAAAAAGTCTCTTGGAGCAATATCCCAAATCCAACAGGAAGTCAGCCATTTTAAAATTAATGTGTAATTTTGCCGACATTTTCCCCTCTTTTCAGGCACCGTACTTTGACAAACTCCTCCAAGGGATTTCATCAGATTGACACGATCTCCACTGCGTTGAATCTAAAGACCTTTGTGATGTTAAATTGCGAAGCTTTTTACGTTCAGGGAAACGGGGTGGTCATGGCGGCACGTGGAGTTTGAATCACTCACCAAAAAGCAGTAATCTACTGTCACTCAAAAGCACAATGTCCAATCTCGCCCAAACATTGTAGGCATGAGTCGAGAGTCATGCTCGGAAATGTTTGTTATGCCATTTGTCAGTAATGGTTAGAGCGCCACCTAGTGGGACGACTATAATCATGATTGAATGAGATGAAATGTTAGCTGGTGGTTAAATGCATGAATTCCATCAATGTGACATCAGATCAGACGTGCTGGTTTTAGGTGTTGGGCGTGGCTCGACGCTCCGGGGTGCGAGGGCCCTCATAACGCTGCTTGCAGATTTAATTTGGTTTTGTTTTTGTTCACAGGCAGAGAGTGTTTTCAAGCGCATTCCTTATAAAACACTGTTTTTACTGTTTCTTCCCTTAGTAAATATAAACAACGATAGTATTCAGGAAGCAAACCAAACATTGCATATATTTTTAACATAACTCTGGTTTTACGTGGCCTATCAGCACAATTTAAAAACTGGTATAAAGTCCACACTTTTTCCGTCAATTGTTCCGTCTGTCCTGCTCACATATCCAATGGTTGTACACGTTGTCATTAACGTGGCTTCACTCCACATCAGCCACGCTGCTTTGCTAGCTAAAACACTGGTATCGGCACATAAGGACGCTGTCATAGCCTGTCAACGACGTTGATTAGCTGCATATATACCAATGTGAATCGCATTATTGGCTGGTCTATGGGATAAGTTGACATCGTTGTTATCCCATATGGGAGCAGCCAGTCACTTACTGACTAACACCGCAAAACAGAATTGTTTAAATTTCAATTCAGGTTAATTTTTTTTTTTTTTTCGTGCGCAACGCAGATTTTCTGTGCGCAGAGACCATGCCAGCAGTGCACAATTGCGCACGTGCACAGCTTAGAAGGAACATTGGACGTGAGGTATCTTGTATTTAAAAGTACCTCTGTCCTCTCGTGTTACCTCTCTGTCTCTTATGTTAAGCACTTTGGTATACCGCTGGTTTTTAAATGTGCTCTATAAATAAAGTTTGTTGTTGTTGTACCTTATGTGTCTGGCCTTAGCCTCTAAGGAACAGATACCACTGAGCTGAAAGCATTGTTATCGACACTGCAATACTAATTTAATGATTTGTAACCCTTACAAAGGTTCCTTTTTAGATGAAAAGATAAAAATAAGACTGAGAAGTACTTCAGTCTGTCACCAATGTCTGATATAGAAACAAATGCAGAGGAGCAGTATCGGGATTAGGGTGTTGACTTTTTTTTCTTCTTTTTCTGGAGTGAAACTGGTTATTAAATAGGGGTGCAACGATACTCGTATTGATATTGAATCGTTCGATACAGTGCTTTTGGTTCGATACGCATATG